AAATCCGGAGAGCGACGTGGCCAAGCTATCGTTCCACCACGTCCTATCCATGGTGAATAATTTTCATTAAGTAAAGCTCTCACAGCACGTGCGTAGTGAGCTGGTGCACCGTCCAACTGTAGCCACATGCGCCTTCGGTTGATCACTGGTAATTCCTCCATGATTTCTCTAAATGTGTTCCTTAGAAAATCTAAAAATCTTAGGCCATTCATTGTATTTGGTAATTCAATTTCCGCCCACACATTTACTGAAAATTCATGTTGAAATTTACTGGGCCTTACTACATTTGGATTTTCTTGCATCCATAAATGCTGGTTTCTATGGTTTATAATACCAGCTCTTGTAAAAGTCGCCTCATCGGTCCACATGATTTTTTTACAAAATGTCGGTTAACGTCGCACACAACCGTTGAGCCACGAGCAAAAAGTGGCTCGCACAGCATAGTCTGGCTCTCGAATATCTTATACGCGACGAAAATGGTACGGATGCATGCCTTCGCGTTTTAAAATTTTCCACACAACCCATTTTGACAAATGCAGCATCATTGCTATTCGCCTTACACTGAGCCTGGGATCTCGATAAATTAATTGAAGAACTTCTTCTTCTGCTTGCACTGACACTATGCGGGAGCGTTCATTTGGCGGCCTTTGGATGCCATATTGCGACAATCTTAAGTGAATGTCAACAAAAGTTTGTCGACTGGGTGTAGGCCGGTTGGGATACCTCTGACGATACATTCGTACGGCGGCAGCAGCGCTTCCATTACATCTGCCATACACGAAATGCATGTCAGCTATGTGATGAGACGAATAGTTAGACATGTTTTTATCCGAAAAGTACGTAGTCACCGCAAACTACAACAAACTCGGCAGAATATCTCGGTGAAGGAATAGCTCACAAAACGGAACGGAATAGTAGCGATCGCAACGCAGAGCGGAGGACAACTGATCTAAGGCTAACAAATAGGGTTGCCGTTCTACAAATTTTAAAGTCCCTAGACTAACAGAAAAAATCCGCCAGAAACAGGATTTTTCTTTTTCTTAAAATCCGCTAGAAGTCCCTAGGTACATTTTCGTGGTACCGTTGGTCTAACTGAAAAATCTTGCCAAATGGTATACAAAGAATACCGAAAATCTAAATCTATAAATTCAGAAAACCTTAAAAAGAACGGACTCTATTTCATATAAATTAATTATATATAGTGTAGATAAATGACATGACAACCAAAACAAAAATTATTCATGTACAAAATAAAAAATATTGTAAAAAAATAAATCGCTTTAAACCACGTTTAAACATTAGTCATCTTATTAAAAATAAAACAATTAGCTCAGTACGTTCTTGTACCTAAATTTCAAAATTAATAGCGAAGTATGGATCCAGATCTTCAAAAAGAACTTCAGCAGAAGTTGAAGCTTCGCCAATGTCTCCAGTTCCCATCTTTGGTTTACCTTTACCGACTTGATTGACAAGATCTTCGGGAATAGCATACGTTGCGCAATTCTTTTTTTAATCCTTAACTGATTTATAATTAGACGGATGGAATTTAAAGGTTTTTCTGATTGCTTGTTTCAGAGTTTGCTTTTAACTACATTCATAGCACCAAATACGCGTTCAAATTCTGCATTTGAGTGCGGTAGTGATAATATTACTATTGCAAAATTACATAAATCTTCGAATATGTTTACTCCTGCTGCATTTTTGTATGTCGAAACCTTAGAACATGGTCTCTGGTCGAAACAGAGAAAGTGAATTAACGACATTGCATTGTTAGTTTATGTTCGGGAATTCCCGTGAAATTATATTATATATAGAGTGCTACCAACAGTAGATTACAAAATTGGACATATGATAAATTACTTATCTGAAATGAATTACTTCATAAAAAGTCGCCATCTCAAAAGTCCAAATGTCGCTAGAAGTCGCTAAATAATTATTTCTCGCTAAAACGATTTTTTTATCCGCTAAACATTGTTAAAATCCGCTAGATCTAGCGAGAAAGTCGCTAAAACGGCAACACTGCTAACAAACATTTATCTTCGATACCTGCGGTGGTCAAACATGATTTTTTGTCCTACTTATTCATCGCCTAACAATAATACAAATCATTTTCCGTCCTTGTCACATAAACCCTATTCTATGTAGCAGGTAGCTCTACATGGGTTTGGGACCGTCGCAAAAAGGGTCATATTCAAACAGCCCTAACTCTCGAGTTATGCAATTAAGAACAATAATTTTAATGTCAATTTGTAAGTAATATCCTTAAGTATTAGTACAGTATTAAAAAAAATTAGTATCAATGTGCTAGTTTTTGAAGTATGTTAAGAAAAATAAAAGAAATAGTCAATTTTTTTCACTTAAATTAGCATTGTAAATGTTTTAAGATATTTTGTAAGGAAAACTTTCCATGATCTTTATTTTTATTTGATAGATGTTATTTTTACCTTTTAAATAACATTTTTTTTTACATCTGTAGGACCTTCCTGTCCAGAGAAATCTGCATCTTTTGGCAGAGGTATCTACAAGAATAAAAAAAAATTAAATGGCGGCCATTCCGACAGGAGGGGGCGTAGACCCCAATATATGGGTGTTTTCGTCGATGAAATTAGGTATATTTTGTAACCTTAAATTATCGCTAGGTCGTGACCAGACACACTGTATATATATATATATATATATATATATATATATATATATATATATATATATATATATATATATATATATATATATATATATATATATATATACGAGTTAACCCGAAAGCAACCGACCACACCTAGTTTTAGCCATTAATAGAGTTAGTTTAGTAATGATTAAAAGTTCCAAGCAGTTTCAGACATTAATAAATCGAATATTAAATACACCTACGTTTGCTAACTGCAATCAGCTCTAATAATATAAATAATATTATGAAGTGAGCATTGTCAATACTACTCTCATAGAATAATAATTACGTTTATTTACATATTATAACGCGACAGATAGTTAACATTCAAGCGACGTATATTTCTTAGCCGTGTTTTGTATAATATTTCACAGTAATAAAATTACCAAGTCGAGCAAGAACTCGATCTTCCAATGTCGATATCAAAAATACTGTTAATAATTTAATAGCTGATTTACCATGTGCTCGGCAGCTAAAAATTCACCAATTATCATCATCAAGAAATCGAGTCTAAAATTCACACATACGAGATGATACATTTATTATGAATTCACTCTGGAAATAGGAGATAGGATTTATTTCCTGCTTTTCTGCATAGGAGTTTGTATAAGTTAAGGCACTATTCTCTCACCGATTTCTGATGCCAAATACCTGTGCATTACCATTATGATGCAACGGGGAGTCAGTACAAAAAAACAGGTTGTGCGGCTTTCGATTTTACACTCGAAAGTTTACATACTTTTATACGTGGTAGTGTAGTTATATTAGTAGTATAGTTGTAGCATGAATGGGTCGGCTCGAACGGGCAAGGACTACGCTCTCACAGAATACCAGCGTTAAACAGTAGCATAATGCTGCTGTTTCATATGGTGAGTGTATTTTTACTGGAAACGAGGCATTCCATCTTAGTCCTCACGGGTGACAACGCATCTGCATTTTGATTTGTAATCGAGGATAGAAGTAGATGTCTATAGGCCGCAGCAACCACTTACCATCAGGTGGACTGTGTGCTCGTTTGTCACCTTATCCTACATTGCCTGAACCTGCAGTGGCTATTTATCACCAGGAGATACTTTAATTATTGTAATGTTGCTAAAAAAAGGAGAACCATACTTGCAACATTCATTCGACGAGAGCCCACTCAGCAGCGTGTCATTTTTTCTCGTCTCCTTGACTCTCGAAATGTTTTTGTAAAAAAAAACTTATTATAAGCCTTAAGATCGTCTGGCGTAAACAAGGCGGTTATACTGTCATATAACCAAGTTATTCTGTCTAAAATAATCAAAAATGTTTTTCCATTGACGCCTCTTATACGACATCCACGGAACGAAATGGGATAATGGTCTGTCTTAATAAATGGTTACAATCCAATTTTAGTGCAGTACTTAAAAACAAAATACGAAACAAGATTAGTTAATTCGTAATATAGGATAGCCAAATATAATTTCTTTCTTGTAAGAATTTTAACTATTATATCCTTCTTGTAATATATCCCTCTTGTAACTTATTGTACTCTTGTAATTTAAGGCACATTTAATTTATATTTATATCTTTTCTTTTGCAGAGTCCGACTTGGAAGAAATAACGAACGAAGTAAAAGCTGATGTGCTCGGAGTTCAGGTGCCATTCGTTGGCGTTGACGGCAATTCTATTTGCGATAAACTGTTCACTGAAAGTGGAGAGAAGGCTGAGTGCCCACTTAAAGCTGGTAACAAGTACATGTACAAGGATTCGTTTCCTATTCTAAGTTTCTATCCTACAATCGAAGTGAATGTCCATTGGGCGTTAAAATCTCGGGACGGAGAAATCATTTGTTTTGAAGTGCAAGCGAAAATTGTTAAATAATTTATTATGTTTATGTATAAGTGTAACAAATGTGGTGGGTATTATGAAAGACTATGTATTTAAGTGTTAAATTTAAGTTATGTTTTACAAAATAATTAAACCTGTGACAGCGTGAGCTCACAATACGCTAAGATAAGGAGTACCTAGGTCTTCTGTGACGATAAGTGGCAAAATGTAACGTCAAAATGTCTGAGTCAAAGAGAAAATTTTGTAAAAATACAGTACTTAAAAGAAATTCATTCTACAATTATCATATTAGAACATTTGTTTAAATGTAGGTAATAAATTAATGAATAAAATAAAAATACTTTTACAAACCTTATTTATTACTTTCTTTCTTTTTGAAAAACTAAATATACAATTATTTTAATATTTCGATAAAAAGTAAAGCATTATAAGACCTAAAAAATAAAATCAATGTTCCTTTGCTTGCGTGATGACAGCGGGTACTTCAAAGCAAATAACATTTTTTGTCATCTAGGAGCGCCTAATGTACTCTTAAATCTACGTTGGGATAAGAGAACGCGATGGGGAAGACGTTGTTGTAGGTATATTCTTCTCCAGCGGCAAGGGGACAGGGCGCCGGTGAACCGTCACTGCTTCTGGTCACCTGAGGACAGGCACTAACTCCAGTCATTCCGAGGAAGGGAAGCGGCAAACCCGCCACAATGGCATACACATCGTTTATGAGAGTTGTCACCTCGTGTTCTGGAATCATAAACATATCCTATTATATAAAATAAACATACTAAATTTACTTTTTGTGTACCAAAAATTTGGTATTAAAAATTTTTAATTATCAAGGAACATAGTCGAGCTGTCATTTTTATTTTCTCAGAGTTAGTCTTAGGTAAACAACCAAAAAGTCTCTAATTTTATTCATTAATTTATCAAGCTTATGACAGTCCAATCTATAAAGTCCATAGTTGCCACGCTTGACTTGGCAACCGCATTTATTTATTATATTTAGCTGTTATTAGGAAGATGCTGCTGCCCATTTCTTGATTAACCTTCCCTCTGTCGCCTCATATATATCTAATTAATATGTTACTTTATGTGACAGTATAGCCTATAGCGCATTGAGTTATATAGTACTACCATAGAGTAATTAGACTTAAGAGTGATAGATTCATTCAAAATTCCGTTCAAAGTTGAAGCAACAACCCAATGAATGTGTGCATAAGTGACCTGTTATTACGTTTGCCCGCACGCAAACAAGCAAATGAGTAATGTATGCAAGTAAATGACGATTTCCCCAAAAAATGGGCAAAGTGTAATAGTAGACATAGTCGTAAAATTTATATTTAGGTTGCGTTTAGAATTATTTACTAATAATTTACGAAGAGGGAAATATAAAATTACTTATATTTGTTAAATAATATTTTAATAAAATTACTTATATACGTAATATCTTGTGCTATAATAATATTCACAAATCTATTATGTCATTATATTATTCTGTTAGAAGAGATATATTTATATAAGTATATTGTATTATATATTTATACAATACTATATACTTATATAAATATATGATATACTTTTTTTGAATAGGCGTTTTGTATTAAAACAAAATAAGATTCGGAAGGAGAAAAACTATTCAAATAAAACAGGAAACTAAAAATATTTATTAAATAACTAACTACCCAAGTACTTAAACTAAACGTCTCTTACTTAATAACCCTGCATCTGCAACTGTTTTCTAAATAAATGCCGCTTTAATGATGCTATCCGCGAAATATTATCTTTTTTTGGATTCATACAAGAATCGAACTCTTACATATCGTTCTACAATAAGCCGCAACAGATTTGTGTCATGATGTTGCGAATTGACGTGCTCTTCTACAATAAGAAATAGAGAACGAACAATGAGTTTGGCCATAATTTCGAGAGATAGATCTTTCTGTGAATTGCTTTTTTATGCATTTTGCTTAATATAATTTCGCAGATTATTTTCAGCAATACTACAAATGGTGTAAACTTCATAAGAAACGTAAATTAGTTAGTTTTCGTTAGTTTTCTTTGCGATTAAGTCTAGTTTTTTTTAATTCAATAAGCAGCACAGACCTTCTAGCCTACGAGACATGTAACGAAAGGCGACAAATTTCTGTAGTTCATCTGCTCAACCAGAGCCTATATAGTTGAACACGAACGCTACCCTGTTTAGTAGTGACCAGACAACAGACCTGTGCACTGCGTCCTTAGCGCTACAATTTTTTAAAATTAAAACTGTAAAGCATGCCTACTTAGGCAGTAAAGTGGTGTGGTAGTGATAGCAGGAAACGTAATTTCAAGAAGGATAAAGTCGCGTTTTACCGGTAAATGCAACATTTAATAATCTTATTCTGGTCGTAGTTCTGAGAATGTCCTTGTCAAGCACGCAGTATCATAGTAGCGGCTCTGTCTAGTAATCGAAGGGGCTGTAGGCGGCACGTGTAAGCCCAAAAAAGTATCGATGCAAGTTTATCGACTATTTATTGTATTATTATTTTTTGTGTAGACGAACAGTCGTACTATATATATTTGTGTATATTGATCTATATGTAATTTTAATTTGAAATCCAAATTACAGCTTTACAAACCCTCATTAATAAAAAAAGGTAATTTTCGTAAAAAAATTTATATTACGTTAATTTTACCTAATGTAGATATTTTCACCTGACTGTCGCGGCCGAGGCCAAAACAAAGTCATGGTTTTTGAGAGTATGTATTATGTTTGTGTATTTCTTAGGCACATTCCGCTCTTAACGGATTTATGGTAATGGTAAACGATTAGCGTTGTAAATGACATGTAAAATACATGTTAAAGAACTTTACATGTATTAAACTGTGTATTTTACGCATCATTCATTTGTTTATAATTAAATTTTTTTATATTCCCCCATATTTACGCTTACGATGTATGGATGTGACAAATCTCTAAGTTACATCTCACGCGCCACCCGCACGCCTTTCTTTTTTCTAACCTTGACAGACTAATTTAATTAGAAAATCGTAATGGTTTCATGTCTCGTAGGCTGGGTGGTCTGTGTAGAGCAGCTACAGTCGGACCATACGAAAATCTAAAAACGAATACGTTTAAATTGGCAATAACATTCATGTTATTATCAACTTCACTTCATTAAAACTAAACAAATATGTTTGTGCTATTTTGGCTAAACGTTAACTATTGTCTTTACCATAATTTAATACACCACTGTTGGCTAGTGGCAAAACGTATCGTCTTTTTAGAAAATGTCGAAGATAAGTAAATCAGTATTAGAATTTAAAAAAAATGTTCATAGGGTAAGTTATTTATTATAAAACACATACTATAAAAAGATAAAAATAACTGCACATTAACAAAACAAAATAAAATCAACACATTTTTTTCTTGGCAAGTGGGAACCCTAATAATATTTGCCAATTAAAAATATCTACTCATGCGTGAATATTGTAGGTATTTTTATTTGTCAAATAAAAATACAACAATAATAGTCCCATATTGGCAGTATGTAATAATAATAATAAGAAAATTTGGGGTAAAATATTTTACTATGCCTAGGAACATTTTCATTATATTGGCGTCTGTCAAATTTAAGATTTATTATTTTGTTTTGAGGAATGTTTTTTACAAAAATATAAGATGGTAGGCAGTAATTACTCGTGAAATGAGATTTTTAGATTTTTTTCATGATTATGTGATGAGTTGTAACACCCTTTTAAAGCACAGTAAGTTGTGTTTTTTGCAAAATGGCGCGAGCTCTTTAAACAACTACGTGGACTCGAGTACTGACACATTGAAAGTCGTACTTAGTAAAGTTGTTCAAAACGACTATAAATCAATAGCACGCTACAGACTATAAACTAGAAATTTCTAGCGCGCTATTAAATACGCTATGTTATAGCGCGCTATTTATAAAAAAGTGTGTAGGAGTAGGAGGCCGGCAAGCGCGTTAAGTTTAGCAGCACGCTATATCTCGTAGCACGCTACATTACATGTCGTTCATTGGATAGACCGCGTGCTATATAAGAACATTGTTTCGTAATAAGTCGCATTTTAGATTAAAATAAAATAAAGCGGTAAAGAAAAATATGTACTTTTTAAAACAAAACAAAATTAATAATTTTTTATTATAATTGATGTAAACGTTATTTTAACCTTAATATAAATTATAAATCATTATATATTTACATTTAAAAACATTAGTTGGGCTTCTTTTGTAGCAGACAACTGTGTCCTTCGATCACTTATAAATATAGAGTATACACTAACTAAATAACAGCTTATAACATAAAAAAACAGCTTATAATATAAAAAAACTATTTAATTAGTTTTTTTAATAAATTTTACAAGCATAAAATTTACAAGTGCCATACAATATTTTTACACAACACATGTTTTCAAACTTAGGTTCAAAGTACTATCGCTCTGTGAGCCATAAAATGGGTCTCATATTACAGAGCTCTATTGTAAAAAAGGTGTGATTATTGCTAGCCCATTTACTCCTTAGCATTTTAGTATACGAGTCGCGCATGCGCAGTTGATATAAACGCGCGAAAATTGTCATAAACAATTATTGTTTATTTAGATTTTATTGTTAATCGAGTACATTTTTTAATTTTCGGTAATTTTGCATATGTAATTTAATATAAAATTATTATTAGCGCCGCTCCGCACTGTATGAATATCGAAGCAACAATAACAGGTGTACGGATTGCAGTACAGTTCAGTTGAACATTAGAGTGTTTGGAATGCCATATCTAGTGCGTAGTACATATTATATATCGATGGTATAGCGACGAAAAGTAGCGTTCAATGTACGAAGTACAAAATGTTATCATCATCATCATCATCACAGCCCTTCACAAGTCCACTGCTGAACATAGGCCTCCCCCAAGTAATGCCACAAAGCACGGTCCTGAGCCACCTGCATCCATCGACTTCCTGCATATCTTACCAGGTCGTCACTCCATCTAGTGGGGGTCGCCCAACACTACGCCTGCCGGTACGAGGCTGCCACTCGAGAACCTTTCTTCCCCATCGGTTATCGGTTCTTCGAGCTATATGGCCGGCCCATTGCCACTTCAGCTTACTAATCCGTTGGGCTATGTCGGTCACTCTGGTTTTACTGCGGATATCCTCATTTCTGAGTCTATCACGCAGAGAAACTCCGAGCATAGCCCTCTCCATAGCTCGCTGAGCGACCTTGAGCGTCCTCATATGGCCAGCAGTGAAGGACCACGTCTCTGATCCGTAAGTCATCACTGGCAACACGCACTGGTTGTACACTTTAGTTTTCAGAGATTGAGGTATACCTGACGAGAAGATGTGTCGTAATTTCCCGAACGCTGCCCAGCCGAGTTGAATCCGTCGATTGACCTCTCGGTCGAAGTGGGACTTACCTAGTCGGACTATTTGTCCCAGGTAAACGTACTCGTCAACAACTTCGAGCATAGTGCTCTCAACAACTACCGGCATAGGTGTGACATGGACATTAAACATGATCTTTGTTTTGTCCATGTTCATCTTAAGACCTATCCGTTGGGAGGCACTATTGAGGTCATTGAGCATAGTGCTTAAGTCCTCCAGCGATTCTGCCATAAGGACTATATCGTCGGCAAATCGAAGGTGAGTGATGTACTCGCCATTGATGTTAATACCGTATCCTTTCCAGTCCAGTAGCTTGAAAACGTCTTCCAAAGCAGCGGTGAAGAGTTTCGGGGATATAACGTCACCCTGTC